CTGCATTTTCTTATTATTTTTTTTGATCCCATATATAAAGTAAAACTCTTAGAAAAACCTCATTGCAAAGGCTTTAGAATTTGTTTGATGCACACTGTTAAAATCTCCTGTCATCTCATCATTGAGATGTTGAAAGTTCAGATTTGAATTCAGCTCCTTGTGCCTAACTTTCTATTTTTAACAGAGACACCACAACTCATTGTTTCCAGAGAAGGCCTTGGAAAATATTCTGAGAAAGGAAAATCCCCAGTGATTTCATTTGCTAATGAGGCCTAAAACTAATATCTGGACAAACAGCATCTACAAGAAACGGCCTCCGAGCCAAAAGGGCTTAAAGCCAGGCGGGGGAAGAGAAAAGTTCAAGATAAACTTAGTGTCTTCTCTGATCTCCAGTATTTAGGTTTTATAAAAAGAAAAATGGAGGGATGGATTGTGGACCTAAAGCCAGTCACGAGCCTTCCCCCACACACGCTGGACCTGATGACTCAGTGGGTCTGGCTGATGCTGCTGTAAGGAATCATAGAATGGCCTGGGTGGGAAGGGACCTTCCAGATCATCGAGTCCAACCATCAACCCAACACTGACAAAACCCACCACTGACCCATGTCCCTCAGCACCACGTCTGCCCGGCTTTTAAATACCTCCAGGGATGGGGACTCCACCACTGTCCTGAGCAGCTCTTCCAATGTCCAATAAGGCTTTCAGTGGAGAAATTTTCCCCAATATCCATCCTGAACCTCCCCTGGAGCAACTTGAGGCCATTTCCTCTTGTCCCATCACCTGTGACTTGGGAGCAGAGACCGACCCCCCCTGGCTACACCCTCCTTTCAGGGAGTTGGAGAGAGCAAGAAGGTCTCCCCTCAGCCTCCTTTTCTCCAGGCTGAACACCCCCAGCTCCCTCAGCTGCTCCTCACCAGACTTGTGCTCCAGGCCCCTTGTCTGTGGGTCTCTGTGCTCCCACCACTTGCTCTGCCCATGGCAGTGCTGTCCTTTCCATCCTTGAGAGTCCAGGATTTCACTGTGCTCAAAGAGTGCTTGAACACACGAGGGCAGGCTCTCGATGGCTGGCAGGGTCATCTCCGATGGCAGACATTGCTCCTCACAGCCCACGCACAGAACATGCCATCCTCATGGAACTCTGTTCTGAGGGTTGCGGAGAATTTTTTGTATTTCAATCTATTTGTCTTTATAATGGATCAGGTAGCACCAAAGCCCAAGTGGTTACAAGTGAGAACATTTCTTGGCCCTATTTGCAGTGCTAAAGCCCAGACCTGCTGGTTCTGCAGCCAGAGTCTAATCCAGGAGGCCACAGCACCAACCCCTTTGCCAAGAGCCCGGACCTCTCTCTGCCCCACTGACCACATCTAAAACTCATGGCCGACAGGAGTGGTCTGCACCCTCCTGGTGCTTTTTTACCTGTAGACTTCAAAGTGTTTCCTAAAGTAGAAATACATCTAAAGGCTGAGGGACTTGGGTCTTTTTAGTCTGGAGAAGAGAAGAATGAGGGGGGATCTGATCAACGGCTATAAATACTGAAAGGGTGGGGGTCAGGAGGATGGGGCCAGTCTTTTTCCAGTGGTGCCCAGGGACAAGCGGCAACAGGCACAAACTTGAATATAAGAAGTTCCACCTACACATGAGGACGAACTTCTGTCCTGTGAGGGTGGCAGAGCCCTGGCAGAGCCTGCCCAGGGAGGTGGTGGAGTCTCCTTCTCTGGAGACATTCAAACCCCACCTGGACACGTTCCTGTGGGACCTGCTCTGGGTCACCCTACTCTGGCAGGGGGTTTGGACTCGATGATCTCCAGAGGTCCCTTCCAACCCCGTAGCATTCTGTGATTCTGTGGTTTCTTGCCCATTTCTGCTGTTGGCCTAAGTGCAGGAACTGGAAGCAGGGCTGACAGTGGGTGCGCTGTGGCAGGATTTCCCCAGGTGGGGTTTCTGTTCATTGCAGCACATCACTCACATGCTGAGCTCACCATGTATGAAAAAAAAAAAAGGGGTAAAACTTGTGGTTGCCTCCTCGTGGTTACGACGAGCAGTGGCCCAAGTGCTCGGGGTCTGCAGGCACCGGCCTTTGCTGCAATGAGAGAGGAACGGGAAGGCCAGGTCTGTACCCGGCAGCGATGGGACCCCTCCCTGTGGCACAAAGATGCTTCAGAGCCTGAGTTTGCTCCATTTCCCTCTGGAATAAGGGTCTACTGAACATTCAGGGCAGGCACAATGGGAGATACATAGACACAGGGCTCAAAGAAATGCCAGGCACAACAGGAGACAATCAAAGGAAGATCCCTCTAATAGCTTTTAAGAGAAAAAAAATGCCTTTCTTCACTTAAAAGTGTCAGTTCCGACATTTCAACGAGACTTTTTCTCTATCTGTTTCCAAGAACAGGAGCTTTTATTTTTGCTTCACACATTGCGTTATAACATGGCATGAAAACAACCTTTAAATGGAGTTTGATTTACATATTTTAACTTTCTCTGTGCTCTGTAATGCTAACAATATGATTCTCCATTTGGAACCACAGGCTTTCCTCTTTCACTCTGTTATTTGTCTGAGATGTCTCTGGGATGCATGAAAGGCAGCAGAAATTGTGAAAATGGCTAAGAGCACGCTTTATTTCATACTTAATGCTTCTGGGGCTAAAAGGGAGGTGGAAATTGGCCATGAGATGGATCTTAGCTGCAGAGGCTGACCATCTTTGGGTAATAAAGCCTTACCAGTCTCAAGGGCTTGCACACACAGCTCAACCCCAGAGCAGGAGGAGGTCCCTCTGCCCAGGGAGCCCGGTCTCAAGGACGTGTCACAGGCGCTCGCACATAATGTGTTCCCCGTCAAAAGCCATCATCTGTGTGTTACACAGCAGCTTCCATGACAAATACTTTGTACTTCCCTCTGTCAGACTCAATGGAGCGAAGTCACGGGCAGTTTTTAAACCACGTCAGCATCTCAGCTCGTGTTCCTGGGTCTGCCTTTGGAAGCAGTTTCATAGCAGAGCCACGGGACAAGGGAGAGAGAGAGACAAGGGCATTTTCATTTACTTTAAAAAGAAAGACGATTCTTTCTGGCTCTCAATTTCAAAAATCAATATACTCTGTATCTTTGGAATCTGCTCAGAAAAAAACAGGCTACACTCATCCAGCACTGGGTGTTTTGAGAGTCTGGTGAAGGCCCATCTGATCACTGCTCGGGGCTGCAGGTCCCACCGTGCAGACACTGCTCATTCTCGTGGTAGTGGGTAATTCTCATTATCATTCTGGGGGTAAAAACTCTTCCCCCCAGGTTGCTCTACAAAGTGAGCACCTCGGGGGGCACAGAGAACTGGGTTTCTGTATTCTCATTGAAATTGTCTGTCCTAGGGCCAAAGTTTGCTCTTCTCTTGTTCAGCTGCATGGAGAGGAACGACCCTCATTGCTCATTCTAGTAATGACCAGGGGAAAGTGAACTGCACCTCCCCTTGAGGTTTCTCAGGTTGCAGGGCTGGCCATGGAGACCTCAGGGCAGAGAGAAGTGCTTTCCCCACCCCTGGGCTGTGCCTTTTCTGGCAGAACCACAAGTGAACACAGCACAGAGGTGCTCCTCAGCTTCCCGGCCAGCGGGCAACCTCCCCTGTGCCAGTGGAGAGTGGTGGGTGGCCTCCAGCCTGGAACCAGGCATCCACGGGGGCTTCTGCTCCACCAGGTCTGCCCTGCCTGGATCTACTGAAGGGAGCTGGCAAAAGCAAGCTCATTGTGTGGGAGAGCTATTTAGCAGTGTCTGCAGGTAAAAATAAAATCAAAACGCTAATATAGGCAATCAAAGTATTGATAAAATTATTACTGGCCCAAAGATCAGGCAAAAGGAAGCCAGCAGGATTTACAAACAGGATTTACAACTGTAAGTGAGGACTGGGTTTCTCTCCCATATGAAGTGCAACCAGATGGCTCAGGTCGAGAGATGAAAGCTTGCACTTAGGTAAAGGCCTGGGTTTTTCAGACAAGATGAGGCCAAAAAAGAGAGGGGGCACAGGGTCTGGAGCTATTCCATGCTGAATTATTTTTCAGATCCAACTTCTATTTAGGAATGCAACCAAGAAGGAATTAAAAGTAGGAAACAACTTCTATAGTACAGGAGGATGCAGAACATTTTTCCCTACCTCTGAGAAGCAATACACTGATTAATGCCTGCTGCTGGAGAGGCAGCCTGTGACAGCATCCTCCTCCTGCTGCCCACAAGCCCCTCGAGAAGAACCCAGCAGCCTTAAGCAGCGAGGGTAATAAGTTTTCCTTTCCTTGTCTGAAGAATTAGAACAATTCAATTTAAAGGCAAATCTAATCCTACCTACACTCCACGCTGGGACTGGGGCAGGGTAAATGCCACAGTTAAGTCTGAACATCAGGTTGTAATTGTTAGAGATTAAAACCACGCCAGAGAGAACATTCCAGGGGAAGGAGGAGGGTGAGAAGCATGGCTCTCCTCTGGCTCTTTATTTAGGCGAATTAGCGTCAGATCTTACAAGGGCATATTCCTGCCCAGCAGAACTCAATCAAAAGGCATTTAGTCAATGAAGGAAATTATACACTAAGTTGATTTTTAATCATCCAGCCAGGAAAAGCAGAGATAAAGGAACGTGTATTTATCTGCCGAGCCAAGTGCACACAAGGCAGACGAGCCGCTGGAAATAACTAACAGGAAAATAACTGTTCTGTAAGGCGCTGCTGGTCCATAAAATCTATTTCAGACATAATTTGCTGTGAGCTGTCTCTGCAAGACGTGAGCACATCAGCTGAGCTTCTTGTTTCTACGCGTATGAAATAATCCCTGAAATGAAATGTCAGGTCATAAAAGACACAAGAAAAAAAACCTAAGGGATCTTTCAGAGCTGTCAGGGAGGTGGCCGGCCCGCCCTCCCAAGTGCAGAGGAACCATTATCTCATGGTCTTCTCTAATGTCTTGTTCTCTCACTGGGTTTTGTTTTGTGTTTTTTTTTTTTTTTTCCTTTAAATGCTTGTCTTCTCAGTGCATCCTAACGTGAGCCAGGGTTGCCAAGCAGGGTGTGCGACGTGCTCTGACTACAACGGGTGCCTGTCCTGCAAGCCCAGGCTCTTCTTCGTGCTGAAGAGGAGCGACATGAAGCAGATCGGCGTCTGCCTCTCCTCCTGTCCCAGCGGGTACTACGGGACACGCTACCCCGACATCAACAAGTGTGCCAGTAAGTGCTGGGGAGAAGGGGGAGCGCGTGGGTCCGTGTGTTCTCCCCCGAGTGCTGTGTCCCTGTACGAGTCAAGCCAACAGAGGAGCCAACACACCTTCGTTTGTTCTGTTCTCGTATGGTACTGCTGTAAATATTAACCCCCGCAAAGAGGTTAAGGTGAAAAAAATCACAAAATGGCCTTCCTTCAGCACAGGAAGGACATGGAGCTGTTGGAGCGGGGCCAGAGGAGGCCACGGAGATGCTGGGAAGGATGGAGCTCCTCTGCTGGGAGGACAGGCTGAGAGAGTTGGGGGGTTCAGGCTGGAGAAGAGAAGGCTCTGGGGAGACCTTAGAGCCCCTTCCAGTCCCTAAAGGGGCTCCAGGAGAGATAGGGAGGGACTCTGGATCAGGGAGGGGAGCCCTAGGAGGAGGGGGAAGGGTTTGACACTGAAAGAGGGGAGATTGAGATTAGAAATCAGGAAGAACTTGTTTGGTGTGAGGGTGGTGAGAGCCTGGCCCAGGTTGCCCAGAGAAGCTGTGGCTGCCCCATCCCTGGAGGGGTTCAAGGCCAGGTTGGAGGGGGGTTGGAGCAACCTGGTCTGGTGGGAGGTGTCCCTGCCCAGGGCAGGGGGTGGCACTGGGGGGGCTTTAAGGTCCCTTCCAACCCAAACCATTCTATGACTCTATAAAGCTCAGGGATCCTGGCTCTGTGTGAGTGACCAACCCAGGTGAGGATCTCCTCCAAGTGCCAGTGGCCACCAGGCACTGCCCCTGGCAGTGTTGGCTCTGGAGAGTGAGGACCAAGAGACGCTCAATCTTGGTGGCCGCAGCCCTTTAACCCACTGGCCAGGTTTCAGATGGCCCATCTTCAGCCTGATTTGGGGGAAGTTACCAATTTCTGTTGCCTTTGGGCTGGGGGACAGACAACCCTACTAGTTCCAGCTAAACATGAGGAAGAACTTCTTTCCTGTGAGGGTGGCAGAGCCCTGGCAGAGGCTGCCCAGAGAGGTGGTGGAGTCTCCTTCTCTGGAGACATTCAAACCCACCTGGACACGTTCCTGTGGGACCTGCTCTGGGTGGACCTGCTCTGGCAGGGGGTTGGACTAGATGATCTCCAGAGGTCCCTTCCAACCCCATGTGATTCTATGATTCTGTGAGGCCTCACCAGTGCCCAGTACAGAGGCACCATCACTTCCCTACTCCTGCTGGCCACGCTGTTCCTGATACAGGCCAGGATGCTGTTGGCTTCTTGGCCACCTGGGCACACTGCTGGCTCATGTTCAGCCTGCTGTCCACCAACACCCCCAGGTCCTTTTCTGCTGGGCAGCTTTCCAGCCACTCTGCCCCCAGCCTGTAGTGTTGCCTGGGGTTGTTGGGACCAAAATGCAGGACCCGGCACTTGGCCTTATTAAACCTCAACCCCTTGGCCTTGGTCCATTGATCCAACCTGTCCAGAGCTCTGTAGAGCCTTTCTACCCTCAAGCAGAGCAACACTCCCACCTAGTTTGGTGTCATCTGCAAACTTACTGAGGGTGCACTCAATAGGATCTGCTCCCTTTGACAACTGTGTAACATTGGTAGAATTGTGTGACTCTGGTGTGCGAGAGGGACCCCGTGGTGGCAGAGAGCACCAACGCTGCTGTCTACTGTTTGCGTTGCAGAATGCAAAGCTGACTGTGACACCTGCTTCACCAGAAACTTCTGCACAAAGTGTAAAAGTGGGTTTTACTTGTACAGCGGAAAGTGCCTTGAAAAGTGCCCCGACGGGCTGGAAGCCAACAACCACACCATGGAGTGCACCAGCATCGGTGAGTCCCGTCCCCTGGCGTCCTGAGGGGTTTTCTCACCGGGGGTGGGGGGTCTGAGGAGGGGCAAGATGGGTTACCCCCACCAGGGAAGGGCAGCTTCAAATGGAGATGTTCTGCGTCGCCAGCCGTGTCCCCTAGCACACCAAACTCGAGGTATCCCCCAAATCTGCCATTTCCCGAGGGGCATGAGCATGGTCAAGCCCCACAAACACAGCCCTGACGCTGAGGGACGTCCTGCCTCAGGAGACGGGGGCCGTTTGGTCTGCCCTGAGGCAGAACAACATCCATCTCTTCCTCACCGTGTCCCGCTGCCATGGAAGGATCCCAGACCCCGCGCCAGGCCCCACAGGCAGCTGGAAGATGAAAGCACTAACTGCTTTGCTTTGGCTCCCCCCGCTCCCCCCGCCTCCCAAGCTCTGGAAGGGGACCCTCACACAGGTGAGGGCTAGAAACCAAAACAGGGGAAAAACCCACCAAAATGGTGTATGCGCACCGTCACCTGACTCCAGAGACTGAGGATTCAAATAAGACAGGGAATAGTGTGGCCCCGAGGTGACTCCAGAGACTGAGGATTCAAATAAGACAGGGAATAGTGTGGCCCCGCGACCGAAGGGATGCTCCTGTGACTCACCAGCTGTGGAGAAGGGACCTCCTTTTGTCCCTCCCCACCCTCTGACTCACAGGCGCCCTTGACTCCCCCCGGGGCACTTTTGGAGGCCACCACACCTAAGAGTCTGCTCCATCCCTCCAGCCCAGAGCAGAATCAGACAGACCTGCCTCCGGGCACCCCCTACCCTGGGCACACCAAGGCTGCCCCAGGCTGGCCTGGTTTGGCTAGGGTGGCTGTGGGTTGTGGTGGCCCAGGGCTGGGGACTGCAGTGGCAGAGGTGACCTCCTCGGCCACCAGCCACCAGGGAGCACTTAGGCACGATCCGGCCATGATGGAGATCTCCTCCCCACACATAGCCCTCCCTGTTTAGAGGGGAAGCCATGCAGGAATAAAAATGTCATAGAGTAGTTTGGCATTTTCCTTCTCAAATCCACGTGGGCTCAGGTGGCGGTGATGGCTTTTACAGCTTTATTTTCAAGCGAAGACTTTGGTCTCAGGAAGAAATGGAAGGGATGGTTTTTGTTTCTCAATGGCTGTTTCCAAGCGCTGCAGCCTGGGCTGCTCTGACGGACTCCGTCTCGAGGAGGAAAGGCCATTGGAGCTGTGGAGGGGAAACAGAACCTTTTTGTGCACGTGAAGGCCCATTATTTTAACAGGAGAGCTCCAGGGTAGTGTGAAAAACAAAGTGACCCGTGTGACAATTCACTGGAGGAAGGCTCAGGGATTGCCTGAGGTCAGTTCTATTTTTAGGCTTTGAAAAATTTGGGAGTAAATTCTGGAGCTGGAAAAATGTTGACTTCCAAATTCCTCCCTGTAAAGCGGCGGGAAGCCTCTCCTTCCTCAGCCACGTTCTGTAGCCTTAAACATAACGTAAATATAAATGTTTACTCTCTTTTTGCAAGAGGAGGATGCTGAGGAGGCGGCACAGGAGAAGGACAGTTATTAAGAGCAGGTTGTTAAGCTCCCAAGCTCCCTCCCATTCCTGCCCACCAGTTTGGGCAGTGTCTGGCCACACACCTCTGGGGTCCCCTGTGGCCCAGGGGGCACGGTCACCTCCCCGGGGTCCCTAAACACTAACCCATGCCTTTCTGCAAAGCCTGCACCCCCCTGCCAAAGGTCCCCCCTGCTTTGCCTACTGACAACTCGCACACGCTGCAGGCCATGGCTCCACCACTGTTTCTGCTGAACACCAAGCAGGAGAGCACCAAAGACACTGGATTATTAATGTAAAGCCTTCTGATATCGGTCCTTTATAATTCTCTTTAGTTTTCTAAATTTAATACCACTGAGAGCAGCTGCAGCAGCTTCTCCCCATGACTTCCCCCTCCTTTCACTGAAGCTACAAGGATTTATCCCTCCACAAAACCAGAGCACCCTCAGAACAAGCCCCAGTAACTGGTTTCAGGAACGGAATTACGAAACAGCGAATACAAAACAGTCACCGACACAATGATTTGATGCTACTTTTCGCAGTATATCCTCAGCAGCCCCGTTTCTGTCCATTCACTGCTGTAAATCCTGATTCATGTCATGAGTTTTTGCCCCCCTTTGGCTGATGCAGAATGCAATCGATGTACCGTACGCGTTGTGTGCACGAACCAGGTACCGGCCGGGCTCAGCGTGTCCTATGTTTGTTGCAGTGCACTGTGAAGCTAGTGAGTGGAGTCCCTGGAGCCCTTGCACAAAGAAAGGAAAAACATGTGGTTTCAAAAGAGGAAATGAAGTGAGGGTCAGAGAGATCGTACAGCACCCGTCAGCAAGGGGCAGTCCTTGCCCAGCCACAAGCGAGAGCAGAAAATGTATTGTACAAAGAAAGAGATGTCAGAAGGAAGGAAAAGGTACCACGTTATCGTCATCCTAATAATGAGATTGATGTTGTGCTTGTTTAATAATAACTCACCTCTGAATCCCCAGGCCTCGCCCGCAGGCTCCCCCAAACCTCCCGTTGATGTGGTGGTCTCTGGGCTGGGGAGAACTGTGCCCGCAGTAAATAAAGTCCTAACGCTGCTCAAAACCTGGGCTTCGTGTGGTGCAGAGAGGACCAGGGTGGGCTGGGTGGGTTCTCACTGGGTTCTGCTGACAGGGCTGCCGAGGCGAGGGGCTGCATGTGGAGCTCAGGACAAAAAGGTCCAGCGTAAAAGCATGTTGTGGTGGGAGCTCTTTGTTGGGCATCAGGCAGCCGAGTTTCACCCCTCAGCCATGGGACCCCCCCAAACCAATTCCTGCTCCATGATCCCCTCCAGGTAAGACCAAAACTCTTGCAATCGCAGTGCTGTGGCCTCTCTCCCACCCTGAGCCCCTTCTCCCAGCTCTGGCTGAACAATGTGGCCTCATCCCATTGTCTTCTTCTGGCCCGAGGTGTCCCAGTGTGGGAGAAAGCCCCCAGTGCTGCCTGGCAGCCAGGGGAAGCTCTGCTTGGTTTCCCCCATAACCAAGAGTGCCAGCAGATCCACCCCTCCGTGGACCCAGCTTGTTGGACCCATTCCCCACCACGGCACCCAGCGAATGCCACCCCGCATGTTAAGAATAGGAGATGCTTAAGGAGTGGATGAAATAAGAATTGATAGAAATTCCACGCAGCAGAGATCATAGTCGTGTTGTTCCCTTTTCTCCCCTTCTCGCCACAGGGCAGTTCCTTGCTCTGTCCCCGGGGCAGGCGATGGAATAGCTCCTTTTCCCCATCCCTTCCCATTTCTCCACCCCTTCTGTTCCCCCCTTTACCTCCCACCTCAAAGGCAAGGTTTCCCCCCTTTTGAGGATGGGTGGAAGGGACAGAGCAGTTGCTCTCCATGTGAACACCCATGAGCTGGCACGAGCTGCTGGTACCCAGCAGGAACTCCCTGCTCCATTGCGAAACCACAGAATGGTTTGGGCTGGAAGGGACCTTAAAGCCCCCCCAGTGCCACCCCCTGCCCTGGGCAGGGACACCTCCCACCACACCAGGCAGCTCCAAGCCCCGTCCAGCCTGGCCTTGAAGTGTCCTCTTTTTTTTTCCCTACCAAAGTTAACTTTGTCAGAGCAAAAAATATAGCGCTGAACTGTGATTTGGGAACTGTGGAACTGGGGTTTTTCTGAGGTGATGATGATGTTGTGTATTTGCTCCTGGCAATCTGGCAGCCCCTGCAGATTGGACATTTCTCTCTGAGAAATGCCTGCTGCTCCTGCCTAGTAAGTATTTCAGAAGAGACTACTCATGCATTTTACTGTCACTTCTTATTTTATGGGATATGAGTCAAACGGTACTTGAAAAATACTGCACACCGCAAGAATTCATTCACAATCATGAATCCTTTCCTTCCTTTTTCTGCAATGTGCATGCAGGTGGGGGGGTTTCTTCCTTTGGAGCAAGTCCCAGGCTATATTTGAGCCTGTTTTACACTCAGTAGACAATCCCTTGGAAACCACTGGGGGCAGGTAGAACCTGTGTCCCAGCCCTGCCTGAGTCCTGGGATTTGTATGTCCATGTCTGAGAGCTGTTGGTTTCATGTTCTGAAATCCACCACTGCATACTCCTCAGTAGCCACAAAAGTCTGACCCATTTACTTTCATACACCTTCACAGGGAGATAATTTAAAAAAAAATTTTAAAAAGATAATTTTTGATAAAACTGAGGGAATTCACACATAAAACATTAGGTTAAAACACCTTTAAGGGATGGATTGTGGTGACAAGCCAGGAAACAGAATTAAGAAAAGTTTTCTTTCCATTCCTACTGGAACAGGAAAATAAAGCTTTCCAACTCAATCCCCAGGAAACTTCTCTTTCCTACTGTCCCTGTCCCTTATTGCCCAGAGGAAAACTGATCTGCTTTGAACAACAGAACAATCGCACACGAAACCAAGCCGGGCTCTGCTCTTATGGCTGGCTGCATCTACTCATAGAGTCATAGAGTTAACTGGTTTCAGGAACGGAATTACGAAACAGCGAATACAAAACAGTCACCGACACAATGATTTGATGCTACTTTTCGCAGTATATCCTCAGCAGCCCCGTTTCTGTCCATTCACTGCTGTAAATCCTGATTCATGTCATGAGTTTTTGCCCCCCTTTGGCTGATGCAGAATGCAATCGATGTACCGTACGCGTTGTGTGCACGAACCAGGTACCGGCCGGGCTCAGCGTGTCCTATGTTTGTTGCAGTGCACTGTGAAGCTAGTGAGTGGAGTCCCTGGAGCCCTTGCACAAAGAAAGGAAAAACATGTGGTTTCAAAAGAGGAAATGAAGTGAGGGTCAGAGAGATCGTACAGCACCCGTCAGCAAGGGGCAGTCCTTGCCCAGCCACAAGCGAGAGCAGAAAATGTATTGTACAAAGAAAGAGATGTCAGAAGGAAGGAAAAGGTACCACGTTATCGTCATCCTAATAATGAGATTGATGTTGTGCTTGTTTAATAATAACTCACCTCTGAATCCCCAGGCCTCGCCCGCAGGCTCCCCCAAACCTCCCGTTGATGTGGTGGTCTCTGGGCTGGGGAGAACTGTGCCCGCAGTAAATAAAGTCCTAACGCTGCTCAAAACCTGGGCTTCGTGTGGTGCAGAGAGGACCAGGGTGGGCTGGGTGGGTTCTCACTGGGTTCTGCTGACAGGGCTGCCGAGGCGAGGGGCTGCATGTGGAGCTCAGGACAAAAAGGTCCAGCGTAAAAGCATGTTGTGGTGGGAGCTCTTTGTTGGGCATCAGGCAGCCGAGTTTCACCCCTCAGCCATGGGACCCCCCCAAACCAATTCCTGCTCCATGATCCCCTCCAGGTAAGACCAAAACTCTTGCAATCGCAGTGCTGTGGCCTCTCTCCCACCCTGAGCCCCTTCTCCCAGCTCTGGCTGAACAATGTGGCCTCATCCCATTGTCTTCTTCTGGCCCGAGGTGTCCCAGTGTGGGAGAAAGCCCCCAGTGCTGCCTGGCAGCCAGGGGAAGCTCTGCTTGGTTTCCCCCATAACCAAGAGTGCCAGCAGATCCACCCCTCCGTGGACCCAGCTTGTTGGACCCATTCCCCACCACGGCACCCAGCGAATGCCACCCCGCATGTTAAGAATGGGAGATGCTTAAGGAGTGGGTGAAATAATAACTGATACAAATTCCACGCAGCAGAGATGGTAGTTGTGTTGTTCCCTTTTCTCCCCTTGGCGCCACAGGGCAGTTCCTTGCTCTGTCCCCGGGGCAGGCGATGGAACAGCTCCTTTTCCCCATCCCTTCCCATCTCCTTCCCATTTCTCCATCCCTTCTGTTCCCCCCTTTACCTCCCACCTCAAAGGCAAGGTTTCCCCCCTTTTGAGGATGGGTGGAAGAGACAGAGCAGTTGCTCTCCATGTGAACACCCATGAGCTGGCACGAGCTGCTGGTACCCAGCAGGAACTCCCTGCTCCATTGCGAAACCACAGAATGGTTTGGGCTGGAAGGGACCTTAAAGCCCACCCAGTGCCACCCCCTGCCCTGGGCAGGGACACCTCCCACCACACCAGGCAGCTCCAAGCCCCGTCCAGCCTGGCCTTGAAGTGTCCTCTTTTTTTTTCCCTACCAAAGTTAACTTTGTCAGAGCAAAAAATATAGCGCTGAACTGTGATTTGGGAACTGTGGAACTGGGGTTTTTCTGAGGTGATGATGATGTTGTGTATTTGCTCCTGGCAATTTGGCAGCCCCTGCAGATTGGACATTTCTCTCTGAGAAATGCCTGCTGCTCCTGCCTAGTAAGTATTTCAGAAGAGACTACTCATGCATTTTACTGTCACTTCTTATTTTATGGGATATGAGTCAAACGGTACTTGAAAAATACTGCACACCGCAAGAATTCATTCACAATCATGAATCCTTTCCTTCCTTTTTCTGCAATGTGCATGCAGGTGGGGGGGTTTCTTCCTTTGGAGCAAGTCCCAGGCTATATTTGAGCCTGTTTTACACTCAGTAGACAATCCCTTGGAAACCACTGGGGGCAGGTAGAACCTGTGTCCCAGCCCTGCCTGAGTCCTGGGATTTGTATGTCCATGTCTGAGAGCTGTTGGTTTCATGTTCTGAAATCCACCACTGCATACTCCTCAGTAGCCACAAAAGTCTGACCCATTTACTTTCATACACCTTCACAGGGAGATAATTTAAAAAAAAATTTTAAAAAGATAATTTTTGATAAAACTGAGGGAATTCACACATAAAACATTAGGTTAAAACACCTTTAAGGGATGGATTGTGGTGACAAGCCAGGAAACAGAATTAAGAAAAGTTTTCTTTCCATTCCTACTGGAACAGGAAAATAAAGCTTTCCAACTCAATCCCCAGGAAACTTCTCTTTCCTACTGTCCCTGTCCCTTATTGCCCAGAGGAAAACTGATCTGCTTTGAACAACAGAACAATTGCACATGAAATCAAGCCGGGTCATAGAGTTTCCTGGGTGGGAAGGGACCTTCCAGATCATCCAGTCCAACCTTCAACCCAACACTGACAAACCCACCACTGACCCATGTCCCTCAGCACCACGTCTGCCCAGCTTTTAAATCCCTCCAGGGATGGGGACTCCACCACTGTCCTGGCAGCCTCTGCCAAGGCTTCACAACCCTTTCAGTGTAGAAATTTTTGCCAATCTCCATCCTAAACCTCCCCTGGAGCAACTTGAGGCCATTTCCTCTTGTCCCATGGCCTGTTCCTTGGGAGAAGAGACCGACCCCCCCTGGCTACACCCTCCTTTCAGGGAGTTGGAGAGAGCCAGAAGGTCTCCCCTCAGCCTCCTTTTCTCCAGGCTGAACACCCCCAGCTCCCTCAGCCAGTGAGTGCAGAAGGAGGCAACAACAAAAACACTTTGGGCAAGGGAAGGGGAAGTAAATACATTTGTATTTACTGCCAAGAAATATCACAAACCCTCTTTTGTACTGTATGGGTCCCCATTGCTACCCAGGAGTTGTTCTGGTGTTTCACTTTCTGGCTTTTGAAGGCCAGCAGCAGCCCCAGCACCCACGGCTGGCGCTGGTGATGGTTTCCCCGTGGCCATGAAGGAGAGAGCTGGGTCACTCTGCCATTTCCGCGCTGAGCCGGTG